GAGAACTCTTCTATACTCTTGTTTAGTTCTATAACTGCCTAGGCAGGGCAAGGTGGCATTATTAGCCAGGAAAATCAGCCATTTAAAGTTACAAACATAATGTGTTGTTGACTGGGCTGTAACTGTGTTTATCAAATAGATTCTCTTGGTGCAGTTGGTTGAAAGAACCAGGTATTAAAATAACAGATATCACGGATGGGCACATGAACTTTTATTTATGCACAAAAAGATCCCAGCTGCTAAGCATTAATACTACAGACGGGGTTTTCATTACATCACTCTTTTCACAGAGGATGAACATATTCTTTGTTTATACAACTGCACAGAGAGAAATAGATTGGTTTTGCTTGTTGCCAGAGAATCTGAAACTTCTACAGTGAATAATTATAATCACATAAATAACTGTCCCATCCAACATATTCTCATTTTCGTAATGCCACTGAAGACAATACTGATCAACACCAGCAAGAATTCAGTCTTAGAGGCAGAATCAAACTCTACCACTTCAAGTTTTGACACAAATTAATACCATACCTTGAAATCTGAGTATAAAAGTTGTGTCTCCTCCAAATCTAAGTGATTAGGTTTGAAATGGCTGATTTAAGTTCTAGGCAAGCAGGTAGACAGGCAGTTTATAAACACAGCACCTAGATTTGTGTTCATACTTCCACCCATTTATCAAAGTCATTCTTAATTATCTTTGAAAAGTCATGGCAACTTGGGGAATGTTCCTGAGGTCTGGCAGAAAGCAACCACATCGCTTTCTTCCAGAAAGGCAAGTAGCAGGATGGGAGGAGCTATAGACTGGTCAGCCACACTTTAGTGCCCAGAAAGGTGATGGAGCAAGTAATCCTATAAACAATTTTGAAATATGCTATGAACAAGAAGAAAATTGAGACAAGTCATCATAGATTTAGAGACTACTCAGCCCTTGGTGAGCCTGCATCTGGAGGGCTGGGTCCAGTTCTGGGCTCCCTGGTACAAGAGAGATGAGAGTCAGTCCAGAAAAGTGTTGTGAAGGAGGTTAAAGGACATGAAGGATCTGACATACAAGAGACCTGAGATTGTTTAGCCTGGAGAGCAGGGGTAAGGGGTAAGACTCAAGGGTAATCTCATCAGATTACCCTTGATGTGAGAACAACAAAGACAGAAAGAGCCAGACTCTGCTCCATGGGGCCCAGTAACAGGACATGAGGCAGTGGGCACACATGAAAATCCACATAATTAAGCTTAAATATAGCAGAACCTTTATTACTGCAAAGGTGGTTGATGACTGAAAAAGGTTACCTAGAGAGGTGGTGGAGTCTCAATTCTTCAATATAATCAAAACCAAAAAGGAGAAGGCTCCCAGCAACCTGCTCAAGTTGAAGCATTAATGTTGAACTAGATGGTTCTTTTCTATCCCAAATAATACTTCTTTACCAGAACAAAGCTAGAAGAAAATTAATATTCCATTATTTCTAGGTACCCTTTCTGGTCATAGTAGTGAGGCACTAAAGTTGTGTGCATAGCTGTCAACTCTGTGTTCTTTATACACCTTACATCAGGAGGTCTGCTTTCCACATTTGTTTAGTAACAGAGAGCTGAGCCGATTATTGCTTGGCTCAGAAAGATAAAGTCATGAGTAGAAAACAGGAGACCTCATGCAAAAGGAAAAATATGAAAGCCAGTGACAAAATTTCTCTCCCTAATATCATCAGTGCATGGCCACGTCTCCCACTCAGCTCAGATGAAAGGTCTCAGAAGGAAAAATCTCTAAATTTTACTAGAAAGTATAGGCCTTAACCAGAACACCTGATTCCACAAAATGAGAATATAACTGTGCCCCTTTTTCTGTAACACAAGGTATTCCAGGTCTGCAAGGTCTTAAAAAATGAAGCTCTGGAATACAGCTTCCTATCCTGGAAGTGTCCCTAACCATTTTATTCTTCTCCACATGGCAGCTGCTTTTCAGAAAGCGTCATGTCATTTCACCTTTTTTCTAATACATACCACTCAAAGAAAACAAATTCCTCATTATTTCTCTCACAACATTACAGAAGCACAAAACAGAACTAAATAAAAGGGAGACCCACTGCCCATGTGCAATGCCTTATCCTCCACAAATTTCTCCATACTCCACCTGTTTCAGGGGAAGGGAGGGGTACAACATCCCTCCTCCTCAGAAGTCATGGCATAACGTAAAACAAATGGAATGGAATAACTGGGTTTTGGTACCATCCATTGACTGCAGAAAAATGAATTCACCACACATCTTATGCAGCCACTAAGGAAAATAATTTACTGCCAGGACAGTGTCTCTAAAAATCTCTGACACTTCTCTCAACTCTATTCATCACAGCCTGGATTTATTAACTTGCAGAAGATTGTTTAAAGCTGAGCTCTTCTGGTACTTAAGAAATGGGAGGTTGAGTAGGATAAGAACAATAGGACTCTCATTTATGTCATTTAATTAAGCTCGATAGAAGCTTCTGATTAGAATATGTGTGGGCAGTGGTTTCTTCCCTATTTAAAATGTTATTAGAGGGAATCCAGTAAGTGTTTCATTATTGTTAAGTGCAATCAGAGAAGTTGTTTTCTACCAATTAAATGCTGCTAAATAAATAGTTAAAAGCAGTTAGCAGTATAATGCTTTGCAGCTGGTGGATTTCTTCTCAGAAGCTTCACAGTAGACATGTTCCTCTATGTACACATAAAAAACAAGAGAAACTTGAAGAAAGCATCTTAAAAGCCAGAATGGTACAGCTATTAATTACCAAGATAATACTAATGAGGTAAGAATAACAGCTTTTTATGCAGTGGGAAACAGGATAAATGGCCTTGAATCTTTATCATGCACAGTTAGAGCCTGAGATGCTGCATGATAACCTGCATGTATCCTGTGAAACCCCACTGAAGGGGTGTTCTGTGCCCATATACAAATGTGTCAGGACTCTGTATTGCAAGAACAGCTTAGCTCAACATCTTTTTAAAATGGAAGCCTGAAACACAGACCTGTACAACAAATTATTACCATTTGTCTCATGGATGAAATCCATCACTAAGCCTTGTGCAGCTCCACAGCTTTTAGAACAGCTGGGAAAAGACTCACTGAGAGCTATTCTACAAGTACTATTCCCATGGCAAAGGGCTGTACCTGCTTGGAAGGACCTTCATTGCAGAGGTGAAACTAGGATGACAAAACCACACTTGTATAAAAAGGGAAAGTTACAACTTCTAAGTACACAGCAGAGGGAAGAGATAGAAAGTGATCTTCCTAAAGTCCCCAATAGCTAGGTGTTTGTGGTGGGTTTGCTGTGCTATAGTAAAACAAGGACATTTAGGGCAATTCCATTCCTATTTAGACATCATTGTGCTTATACAAATTTTTTTAAATACCTTAAATTGGAGGTGAGTCTTGTCACTTTCTTAAAGCCCACAGAAAGCCTTTAAAACAAACAGCAGTCAGAGCATAAATAGGATGTGGATTTTACTCTTGACACATGCCCATCCCGTTTCACCAGCAGAACATCTGTGAAGCATTTCAGATGTGAATGTTACATTGTTCTACTCCTAAAATGAGAGGTGAGGGAAACAAGAGAATAGATTCTGAGTTGCAACTCTGCCTTTTTTCCTTTTCCAAAATCCCTTTTGTTTTATTACCCCTGTATGCTTTGCCTGGCAACCCCAAAGCACACTTGTTTCCCACTAATACTTGTGATTTTTTTTTTCCTCCTTGTTTCCCTCATAGTTTGCTGTGGTTTCTTGCATAAGCATGGTATTCCAAGCATGGAGTTATATTTAACAATTCTCTAATTTCATTGTTTGTATGTCAAGTCTAACAACGGAGAACCACATTAAACACAGACATATTTGCTCTTTAAAGGCATTTTCAGCCAAGGCTCACAAGATGGAGTCACAACTGTCTCCTCAATAATACAAGAATGTGCAACCTTTGCCAGGCAGCAAGGTACTTTGATACTTCACTACTTATCTGAGTTACTGAAAATAAGTGATCTCACCTTATCTAAAACGGTCTCAGATCCCCTTTTCTTCATCTATAAATAAAGCAGGGCCCTTTCTGCCATGCTGTACTTTCATAAATTAAGGAATAAGCAGTCTTAAAGGTTTCTCTCAGAGGACATAACTTCATGTTCTGCGTTCATTTACAAGCAGTGTCACTCTTCCATGGTTACTCTTACAGGTACACAGTGAGAACTCGCAGTTTGAGCCATCTTTCTCCCTGCCATTTTAGATTGTTGTCTACAGAAATTTTAACACTGAGATAAAAGTTAGAATCTCTCCAGAGTCTCATGAAACATCAGGAAATTAAATACATGGGAAACCAAAAGGGGAGCAGTAGACACAAATACCCCTGCAGTTATCAGAAGACAGGATACCCATAAATCCTGCAGATGCCACTGCAGCCCAGAGACAGCAAAGTCAGTTGTGGTTGTAGGCCTGTGAAGGACTGGCTATCAGTGCTCTCCCCTGGCAGTTTCAACTCACAAGCTGGCACTGAAAAGTTACTGATGTGGGAGCTCTCACAGAGAAATCACGGGCTTACTACTGAGCAACTGGACAATAAATAAATAAATAAATAAATAAAAATAAAAAAACCTGGAATCCATGTGGGAGCTCTCACAGAGAAATCACGGGCTTACTACTGAGCAACTGGACAACTGGAATCCATGATGCAACATCTCTTTTTTTTTTTGATTCTTAGTCTAGATCTTTATTTTGGTGCTGACCGAGAAACTGCCCACTTTCTGTGGAGTCAGCAACCCATAGAACAGTCAACTTGATGTGTGTGGGTCTGTGCAGTGCTGCTCAGATTCCTTGGTTGCAGGACAGACTCACTCAAGCTGACAGAAACAGAAGAGCCTGCAGGTAGCTCCCACCTGGTACCAACAATTATCCTGCCTGGGAGGTCTTGCCTTATCTGAAAATGTGGCAGGAAGTTGTCATTATAACCTCCCTCAGAAATACAGCTGTTTTCTTTTAAAGAAATTACATATTACCTTGGAGGACCAAAAGAGAGAGGATCTCTTCACAGACAGGGTTGGGTCTGCTCTGTGCAATGCACTAGGGGAAAAGGCATCTGGACTCCAGCTGATGTTGCACAGATGTGGAGCACCCAGTATCTGAAAGAATGCAAGATTTGTTTGTTATTTATATTCATGTTCTTATTCTATCTCATTAAAGGAGTTATTAAGACTTTTTTTTTTTTGTTGAGACGTTCTTATTGAGATCCAGAAAGAAACCTGCAGTGTCTCTCTTTCACCTCAATGCTCCTAAACTTCCCGAGCCCATGCAGAACTGATTTGTGGCATTATCCAAGGTATAACAGCTATAAATTTCCTTCTATATGCACAAAATATCTGTATATTGCAAACATTAATAAGTGGAACAGGCTCAGTGGGATAGAAAAAGGGAAAAAAAGGGAAAGGCAATGGGATAGAAAATGACTGATATTTTTCTTTCTTTAAACAGATTCATGATTACATGAATTTACAGCTTCTAAGGGGGACAGGTACTCTACATACTCTAAACACTTTTTTCAGATATAGGATATGGTCTTTAATCCCCAGTTTGCAATTTGTGTCAGACCTCAATGACAATTCCTGGATTTTGATGTAACAGCTAAGCCTGAAAAATCTTGGAGACAGAATAGAAGTTAGTGAGGTTAGATGAGAACCAATGTGAAGGCAGCACCAGGAACAGGTAAACAGGTCATTAGAGAAGAGAGGTGGCTGCATAGACATCAAGAGAAGGTTGCATCAATTGAAAAGAAAAATCTGCTTCGAAAATCAAGAGAGGTATTACAGTAGAATCAGTCTTGATTATGCTGAAGGATTGAAGAACTCCTATCACAACAAAGAACTTCCTTTCTGTAGAGTTAGTTTTCAAGAACTCAGAGCACAAGTACATGCCATAAAGTTAATCAATACAGTTTAAGAATTTAAGAATCTGACAGAACTTCCTAATGTACAACAAGCTCTGTTCATAATGCTGTTGAGCCTCTCTGCATTTTAGGTGGGCTTTGTTTGAACAGTGATAAAAAAAAGCAGTGTTTCAAGTACAATGAATACTGTTATGAAATTGGGAATAATATAAAAACTACATTACAGTAGGTTGCTCATAGTGCATCAGCTTATTCTCAGTAGGACCACAGAACTACTAAACTGGATCATATCCATGGCCTGCTCCAGTACTGCCCTCCAGCTATGACCAGGACCAGACGTTTGAGAGGAAGAAGTAATCATCTCCACAGGACACAATATTTTAAGACCATCCTCCAAACCAAATTTCTTCCTGACTCTATGCTGTTAGCTGCAGCCTGGCTTACACTCTTAACCTCTCACTATTGTTAGAGACACTGTCAGTCTCCGGGGGCTGGAGATGCTGCACAAAGCATGTCCAGAACAGCTGCACAAAGCTGTCCAGAACTGCTGCTCCAGAGGAGCAGCTCCTTGGGTTAAGATCTGCAGCCTGGCTTACACTCTTAACCTCTCGCTATTGTTAGAGACACTGTCAGTCTCCAGGGGCTGGAGATGCTGCACAAAGCATCTCCTTGGGTTAAGAGCAGGCCAACAGAAGGTTGCCACGAAGGAGCACTGCTGCCAACTTCAACCCGGTGCCCTGAGCACAACTCATTTAGCACTTTCCATTTTACAGCAAGAATTGTTCATCAGACCCTGAGCCCAAACCGCACAGTCAAAAATACTACCATGCTAAGCATTGTTTCACAGTGTGACATCTGAACCTCTCTTCCAAGATATTTCTCACTCAATGTTCCATGACCAAGGATTTCTCCACAGGAGCCCTCTCCACAAGGTCAGAAAAATAGTCAACTCAAGCTTTTTGTGGACATGACTTTCTTTTCCTTCCATAGGTCTGATTTTTTTTTTTTTTAAGAGAGACTAAAAAGAAATCCTGGCTTTAATCTAATTGAGTTTACCAACTTTCATTAATTGTTCCTCTTCTTGGTGGATTCACAGATTCCTCTTAAGCTTTTAATCTCAATGTCTTTTTGTGGCATTAGCCAATGTATAACAGCTACAAATTTCCTTTTATATGCACAAAATATCTGCATGTTGCAACCATGAATAAGTTAATAAGTGAAACAGGTTCAGTGGGATAGAAAAAGGGAAAAAAAGGGAAAGGAAATGGGATAGAAAATGACTGATATTTTTCTTTCTTTAAACAGAGGCTAAGCCAAGGAAGAGTAAATACTGCCTACTTGTCTCACAAACTGTGCTACAAAAATGTATACACTGATAGAATATAATTTATTCTAGTCCTATTCAAATTCACACCACACTATGAACAAGTATGATATGAATAAAATGGGACCCAAATAGCTTACATTAAAATACCAAATGGAACAGGAATAATTTTGCAAAAGAAAAATTAATCCACTGTATGAACACAAACATTAACCTATTTCCAAGCAAAAGATTTACTTTGAGTGGAGTAAGAAAGGGCAAAGGGCAGTATTGAGACTGCAATATAATTGCATTCTATTTCTAGATCTGCTGCTGATTTCTAGAATGTCTTTGAATAAGTCAGTTGAAGTACAGAGCTTTTTTAGCTGACATAACCCCTCTCCTTCCTTCCCTTTCTCCCACTTATCTGGAGCCATGTTCATGACTGGAGCACTCTAAATTTCCCAATGCCTAGCATGCCTAGAACTCAAAGAGATCTGAAAAAAATTATAACCTATTAAGATGAAAAATAATCAGATTTACACCTTATTTCCTTAATACAGATTTGAAACTGTATGTCAAGCTTCTTGTGACATGCCATTATATGCCCCATAGAGTAGAATGAAGAGTGAGAATAACAGGTCTTGGTAAGCTATTTTGCCAGGAGAAATGTACACTAGTCACTGCAAACACAGTTTAAAAAGTAGTTTTTAAGAATAGCCTTTACATATTAAAGTACTTTAAAGTTTTGGAGCTGTAAAGCTATATGGATCTTTGCTGCAGTGCACACCGCCCAGTCTTATCTTCTTTGCATAAAAAAAACAGATTAGAAAGCTCCTTTATTTATAATCATCCTCCAGCCAGGCCATGCGAATGAATTTCACTCTCCATCTGATGGAAAAAGGACAGAAAGAGGACTCACATTTTATCATCAGATAAATTTCTGCATTTACAGGCACTTCATTATCACTTCCAACAGCTTCCCCTCAATTCTATATGCAGGACAGTTTTAATTCCCACAGGCAATTGTTGCACCTTTAGCTCAGACACACCTTCACTGGTTTATGTCAAACAATCAAGGTGACAGTGAAAGTACCCTCAACCATTTCATAATCTATGCAAATACATACATAGCATTAACAATATGGTAAAGCAACTTTTCTTGCCTAACATTCTCCTTCCTGGCTGACTGTTAGGTTATTCTCCTGATCACCCCGACAGTGAAAGTACCCTCAACCATTTCATAGTCTATGCAAATACATACATAGCATTAACAATATGATAAAGCAACTTTTCTTGCCTAACATCCTCCTTCCTGGCTGACTCTGTTAGGTTATTCTCCTGATCACCCGTCTTCTCCTCAATACTCAAGTCCATAAGAGTCTTTCACTCACATCAAGTTCAGCCATTTAATAAGTTATCAATAACACTGTGATAAAAACTCATTTATTTTCTTCTGAGAAGTCACCCAAGTGTTTTGTATGTAAAATAATTGTTGTATTATTTATAGAAAACATTGTAGATAAAAGGAGTTTTTGTACCCAACTATGCTATAAGTTTAAAATTGTACTTTGAGACAATAAAGCTTGGAATATTATTTTTCTTCAAACAATGAAATTTGAAGCATTTTTTGAATGTGCCATTAGACAATTGTTACATATTCTGAAATATTCAGCATTCAGATGAGAACACCTTGTTTCCTAATACATGCATAAATACAAAATGCACTTGCTTCTGTTGCTTCAAAGTAATAAAATGGTTCATAGGAACAATGCAAAGTAAATGAAACATTTTCTTAAAAAACTTCTATTTCCTTGGTGTATCTAAGAAATACATTTAAGGAATATTGTTTATTTGGTAACAAAAACTACTTTTAGTATTAAAAGTAAAATAATGAGAACAAACTACCATAGAGTAAGCAATTTGTTCAGATTTCTAGATTATAAACCTAAGTAACCAGTGAAATAATTTGTAACCTTTGCATTCTCTTCAAAGTTGCAGTGCTTTGTATGACAGCTATATTTAAATGCTTGCAGCTTTTGATGTTTAAAATAATAACTAACACAAAAATAAACATTTATCATGTCAATTTAGATATTAAAGAAATCCGTTCTAACAAATTACATGTTTTAATACAAGCAAAAAATCAAGGTATGTTGCAAATTATTCAAATCAAAACATTGCAACTTCACCTATTTCATCAGTCAAATGAAATCCTCTTATTTGCCCTGTTTGTCAGTTTAATTTCAGTAACAGAAGTCAAATGCAATTTTTTTCATTTCTACTTTTAAGGCTTCTAGAGGACATGCTATCCTCAAATAATATGTAGAACTAAAAAGCTATTCAGAGTGCATGAGGACCAGCCACTCACTGTTTACATGCAAAGAGCATTACCTTGACCTTCTTATAAAGCTTCTTACACCAAAAAAGTCTGTCAAAGTAAATCCAAAAATTCAGCAGATTACTTTCTCCATGTCTTCCATCATGTTTGACTGCTAAATGTGAGGTGTCATCAAATGCCAGAGTTAGCTTCATGATATACGATAATCTTGTATTAAGCTGCTCCCGGCATTTAGTAAATAACATTTTAGGGATACATTGGTATATGGTGCTACCTACAGACAAAGCAATTGAAATTTATCAGGAAACCTTTTAGTCTATTACAAAAAGAGTGCCTAGTTAAAATGCTTTGATGGCTCCCAAGTACTCTAAAATCTGTGGTGTTCACTTGCCACATGGAGTTATACCACTGTATAAAGAGCTTAGGGGGATGCCACACACACTTGTGTGAAGCCGCCTGATGGACTGGGGTGCTCTCCACTATCCCCTGAGTAGTTGCTAAGTGTGTGCTTCCATACACACAGCCAACCTACCCAGCCTTCACCCAGTGCCTGTGCATTGTACACCCTGGGGACTCACAGCACTGCACATTCCTC